CACATTTATCTTCATGTCGCCTATGCCGACAAGTAATAAATAGTGACGGCTACGGCAGGCTTGGATTGTAATTATCCAGCTCATTCGAAGCAATGAAGTATAAATATTTTAGCCATAAAACAGCCCTAAGTGTCCGATGATCGTTGTCGTATCTCAGCATTGTTTAAATTCAGTTACCTTCGGACATGGGCGGAACCTCAACAATTGAAGTGATTTAATCCAGAGGCTATCTCAACGCGCTTTGGCCAGTTCTCGTTGGTTTGCAAAACACATCAAGCTGTTGCGTTGCACACTCGTTCGTGTAATAAGATGCAGATGACTTGGCCCGGTGGAATTTGCAAAGATTGCCAGTTTGCTTGAACATCTCAACTGTGTTAAATGCGTCTAACAGTTGTTAGCTGACTCTCGAGGCAAGCAAATACATCCAATGCAATTGTGATCACAAAACCCGCTTCCGCTTTAAAAGGGCAAATATTTGCCTCAACAAAGTCGAGAAGCGGGTAGAGCACGGTTATTATTGCTACTCGAATTTCAGCAAGCGGCGATTTTGTATACTCCAGAAAGATACGCATTTTTTGAAATAAGCTCTATTCCAGTGGAAGTCGCATCATACAAAATGGCGGTCTATTGTCATCTATAGCATGATCAAAGTGCAAGTTAGTTTGGGATGAACACTGGTGGTTCCGGGTATCACAACCGCTAACTTGCTAGTACACTCCTCAAAACGTCTGAAACACGCAAATCAAGATTGCGAGTTGGGTTGAATTGACGAAAAGCGTTTATATGCTTCGAGTGGTTAGACGCGCAGAGCAAATGAGCAAATGGGGACAAGCAGCAAAAGAACAGAAAACTGTGGGGAGAAAACCAACCTTATAACTTTAAGTATTTACTTCGTGTAATCCGGTTAATTTTTCTACTAGAATCATAAAACCGTAATAATGCTTAAACACATATTGGAGGCCTTGCTCAAGTATAACACGGAAGTCCTTTTTGCGGTTAGTTCTTCTTATATACTCTGAGTTAATCATTTCTAATCACATGAGTGGGGTCCCTCTCAGATGAGCTAAATCAGAGAACAGGTAGAACACCAATTATTATGTTCAATTTTTTTCATAAACTATTTCAAGGCGCTCTTGTGTTCCTGTGTTCTGTGATATTCACCACATACTAGGTTCCAGTACCACCAGTTATCACAAATGGCTTTCGGTCAACTTCTTTTCAACATCTCAAACGAAGGTTGTACTGCTAACCAGTTTATAGTTGCTAACTGAATCTTTGTTACTTTCGGGATACATAATACAATTACTTTTTAGACACTTCCCACAAAGTCAGTGTCATTTCAGTTGGCTTTGTGCATCGGATATTTCTCTTGTGGTCACATTGTCGAGTGTAACAAAAAATAACATAGATGACCTTTATTCGGACCGCAGAGATCTTAAAAGCCATTACCACACGTTCTGTTTATCGCTTGTCTTCGTTTAACGGAGTTTATCAAATGTCTCTTTTGTTTGCCTCATCTGCCCACACGTACTTCTATCACTTCGAAAATGTAAAACACTATTTTTAATTCATTGTTTTGCACTTTGGACATTAGTCTTGTTGTACATTATTATCTGTCAAAAAGTGAAATATTTTTTGATGTTTATAAACAATTTTTGATGTTCTGTAAAGAAAAGGGGATAGGGTGCATTTTTTGTTGTTTGAAGATCCAGTCACAATTGACGTTCATACTGGTACCATTGTTAAAACCTAATAAATTCAATAATAAATTCATAAAAATACAAAAGGCATGTTGCCATACATACATGCATTATCTTATGCTATCCTATTTGAGTTTGTATAAAGGTAACATGTAAAACAAAACGCTCAACCTCCAATAATGGGGTGACGTGGAGAGGTCAAGCCTTTATTGCACATTTTAAAGTCCAAAAGCATATCATGGAATTATTCTCAATTAACATACATCCGTTTTGATTGAGATAAAAAACCGTATACCCTGAATCATTCTCAACTGTGGCAAATGAGACTGATCAAATAGCAACAATTTTACCATGCAAAGTTACATATTATCAAATAACATTTATTTCTATTGGTGAAAGGACACTCGGAAAGCGTTTTTAGCTCTTCTCGGGTAAGTCTAATTGGTGAATATTACATTTTCCTATTGCGATTGAAAACATGGAGGATCCCGATTTGAACCAGACTGATTTATCTGTGAGGTACGTGGTCAGCGACGTATTTTCTGTGGGCCAGGCTCAACCAATTTAATCGGAAGAATTTATTACCACGTTAGCTGAGTGTGTTTTCCAATACACATGACAGTGACCTGAACGGTTTTAAACATTTTGCAGTGGGCTGTCATCTATTTCCCACCAGTTTATAATGATATCAACGGTTTTTTAAAGATCAGCCATTCTGCACTTTGTGTGCATTTTCGAACCCGAGGATTATATTTCACATTTGTTCGACAAAATCCAATGAGAGCTATGGTTATGTCCCAATGGAAATTGGTTCACTACATTTCGACTGGAAATAGTGCGTCAGTTGTAGACATGTGACTCTGAAACAGTTGCCCAAAAAGGGATGTATCAGAAAGTACATAATCATCATTTTGGTTTAGTTTGAATGACTACTGAGTTTTCTCATATCCTGTCTACAATTTAAGTCCCATTAGATTGCAAAGTAACCGGGTGTTGTAACTAGCATAGTTTTAAATACTGAAACTTAAATATGCACAGAACCAAATAGGTCTGTCACTGTGCTTGCTGTGCAACTACAGCTTCCTGAAACGAGTTCAAAGATTGATGGGAAAATTACTATCTGGCGCTCATCCGAAAATGTAATAGTTATGGTGTGCCACTCTAATGAGTACCCGAAGTAAATTGCGAAATACGGTCCTCAGAAATTCAGTAATTTAAGTATCGGTCTACGCCTAAATGAAACTCAGATGCGCGTGAGATGAGATTTTAAAAAATGTTTTAATCGAGTGTGTTGTGATCAATAAAGGTAAATTGGTCCGCATGTGAATGAGTTATTTTGTATTAATATTATTTTTGTTGTACCAAATCTACAATAAATTTACCCGTATACGAGATGGAGTGCGATGACAAACTACTTCCCTTCGGTTTATACTACAGTTATCAGAGTACTGTCCAGATTATTTTCCGGGGAGAACAATAGCATTATCCAAGGCCCGCACAAACTGGTTCAGATCTGCCTTCTACAAAATCGAAAGAAATTGCGCTGATTGGTTGTTTGGAAAATACCACAATCTACATAGGTTGCATCAATATTTGTCTTCCGTTTGACGGGTACCGCAATGGTTTACTCATATTTATTCGGTCAGGCATAGTCACTCGGTTTGATCATTGTTTGAATATCAGTGTATTCTCTGAGAGAGTAAATTATTTAATAAATGTTGTGATCAGCATGGGGAAAGTTACATTTCTTTGTCTCCTGTGTGACGGATCTCTAGCAATTAAACACTAGAATATGAAACCGCAACCTCTAGAAAGGAGTTAATGGTTGCATACGATAAAATTCTGTAAATATTTTGCCTTTTGTATGAGAAAGGTATATCATTTTACAACGGTATATGATCTGAATCTGTCTGAACGTTCCCACGAGAGTTTGGAGTTGTCTGTTTTTAAGTGTCAGCATCACTTGTGCATTAGTTGGCTGTTCACTCAACTCTGAGCTGGGTATTATGCCAATGTTGGTTAAACCTCATCTACGTTTACTGTATGTTTTTCTGTTTCAGAGATACTCCTGTGACAATGCTTGACAAATGGCGGAGGAAAACGTCAAAATGTCACCAAACTTTGGGGACGTCTGTTCCCTCCCCGATAAATCACAACGGCGTTGACACAAACCACTTGCACCGACGTGGCTAAGCTCTCTTTTCAGATTACTGAAATGTAAGATAATTGCGCTCACATTGAGCGACCCGGTCACCATTCATGGCTCCCAGATTGTACATGTTTCCATTTTGGCTAACGCCGTCCATTCTAAACATGCCATATAAAACCTAGTCCCTTCAATTTGTTTGTCGGTAATTCGAAACATGAGTGATTTAGAAAGGGTACCTTTGACATATAGTACTGCATCACATGGAGCAAAATGCGAACCTATTTATTAGATGCATTTCGGACTACGAAGGATGCATTCTTGCAACACACTGGTATTCTATGCAAGTGTCATTACAGCTGTTTTGTTATGCTCTACGATTACTCCACGATCGTGAACTGGCAGCACGGTGGAGTCTCAGGAAGTGTGGTGCCTCCAATTACATATCCGAGGGGTATTCATCATCTCCTGTAAAATCACTGTGAAACTCTAAATCTGCATAGTGACTGATGGATGCGTTAATTAGTACCGTGAAGAAGCATTCATCTCTACTTCAAAAGTATTCTTGTACGCCTGCGTTAGTCTAGTACTATTTCTTAAATTCAAACTAATTTGATAAAATTATTTCTGTACATCAGAATATCTCACACCATGTGTTTGCGTGAATTGAAGCGTCTTCACTTTCATTTGCACATTATGCAATGGCAGATGGAACGAGCTAGACGAACAGAAACAAATCAATATAAAAGATGTGCATGGCCTAGAGTTAGACGGGAAACGAACCTATCACTTCGAGAGATGATGCTATGTGAATACTCAATAGCATTCGATAGCTATTCAGTTATATCAAGTTGAGTTGAAAGGACCTGTTCATATCTAACGCGAACATAGGTTTATTGTATTTGTCTGAGAATTCAATTTGTTCAATGTGGGTACGCTTGTCTGATAAATAAGATCACATGAAAATAGAATACACAAATTGCTTCCGATTTTTCATCAACTGAAAAGCATGACAGTTAAACTATGAGAATGTAGACATAACCCGAGGGCATTCATTCATCACAAGGAACACAAGAATGAGTTCAAGGTCAAATATCCATTATATATATTTAAATGTAAAAAGTAAATGTCTCTGATCGATGAAACATTTCCCCTCACTCACCGGAAATTTGTTTATTTCGCATTTCGGCGTAGGCACATTTCATATGCATATCGGATTTTCTCATTTCCCGCTCTGACTGGCGAATGCATGCGAGACATGTTCTTTCATATGCGGTACAAGGTGTTTCGTTCAGGTCGACCACAGTTTCATCGACTGATTCCCCGAACAGTTCTGTGACCAAGGGAGTATCCCGTGTGCAGTAGAATGAATTTGTCTCTTCCGGTAACGGTGCAGCACGCTGGATTTGAAATGATGTTATAAAATGTCAATTGGCGCATCAGGGGTAGAAAAATTTGTTTTCATTTCAGGGCAGTGGTTGTGACAATGATTTTATCTGGCTGGAATGTCGATGATATGTCAACTGTTGAAGTAATGCGGTTCGGCTAATTATATCAAACGGTGAAGGCTCGGTGGTAACGTCACTAAATTATCCTCCCAAGAATAAGTGTTTGAGTCCTACCCCCCCCCACCATCTGATTTCTCCCACTTTGTGTTGAGTGACAGCCCTTTGATTGGCTGCTTCTGCCTTCCTGAAAAGTTTTTCTTTGTATTTTCAATACAAGAAAGTAAAAAAAGAAAAGCTTATTTTGTTAGATTATGAGCTTTTATGAAACAATTGTGTCGGTTTTCTTTCTTAGTGAATATTGGTATAATTGATGTGCACCATGTTTTAATTCATTTTCCACGGTTTACCTTGACAAAGCGTAGGAAGTTTTGTTTCGTGAAGGAAATCCTTAGAGGCAAACACCAAATAATTTTAGTTGAAACCATCATGAAATAAAAGATAGGGGATTAACAGTGCATTCCATGTGTCGTTGGAGAAATCATGTGCTCGTCCCTCTGTGTTGAGCTAATGCGGGTTAATGAACCTAAGTTCTACTAACAAGAACCTTTGTCTGGAACAAGGAGGCTGACACTCACTAGCTTTGTGTGTTTCTTTTTAAAGAATATAAATTTGTAGGTTTGTCCCATGCAAGGCTACGGGCATGATGTTGATTGCAGTAGTTTTTATCGTGTGTTTGAATATTGGAGAGCCATTTAAACTAGGCGAGGCAATTCATCATTTGAAGCGTTATGTGATTCTCCCGAGTTTAAGATTAAAACTGTATAAGTGAGATGATATATCGAATACTTTATTTAACATCTCCTAACGAAAAATTGCAGTCGGGTTATGCGATTCGAGTATTGCTAGGTTGCTGAACTCCGTTTATGAACAAAAGAATGTCTTTCCAAGCAAGTTGTGCAATAAAGAGCGAACTCACTTTATACTAAAATGACACATCTCATTATAAAGACAATATCGTAGGGTCGCTTGAAAAGCAAATGTCAACAGAAATTGAAATAAAAATGTACGTGCCCAATCTGTAAAGCAGCAATCATGAACGTTTTTCAGTTGAACGACAGTGAAAACATTTTTATTTCAGGAGAAAATCCTAGTAACTTCTTTTCTCATTCAGCAGATGTCGTTTATATTTCACAAGTTACCTGAAACCTATAGGTTGATATTTTCACGGTGTGTGATTGCAATGCATATGCTGTCTTATAATAGCTATTGTTTCGGGAAGCTGAACGGCTGAATGACGCAACTCGAGTTGATGACACAGAAATTCGTTGGAAAATTCTTCCAAATCGGACAGCCCATCATCGAATGTCTGTTCCTTTAGCTCGCGCGCGCTCTGAGTCTGACCTAGTGCTTGAGCAAAGTGTACTTCCAGGTGGCGTTGTAGGTGAGCGTTTGGATCAAATTAGGCGGGGGAATGTTGATTTTGGGTCTGGACCTCAAGCCTGACAAAGATATTGAATATCTGAATATCTGTAGTAATGATGGATCAAAAACGACAAATCCCGACCTGCCAGGATCAAAACAGTGGAAGGTTGCGTCTGCAATGTAGGCTGACGAAGCGGCTCAAAAGAGAGATCGTGAGAACTTGTGGGTAACAATAACTAGTGAAATGGAAGTAACAGTTGCATCAGGGAATAGTCAAAAACGGTTCCGACTGATACGCAATACGGGATGTCTGTGAGTTCCCGTCAGTAGAACAGTCTGCGATCAGATGGGGAAAGTTTTTCACAATAGGGATCAACGACTTGATTGCAGGCGGAATACTTCAGCGAACAG